ATTAAATTTTCACTATTTTCAGCAAGTGAAGTATGTTTATTTTGCAACAAAACAATGAATGTTAATAACAAAACGTGAAGAAGTAACAATGCAAGGTTTCTGTAAAATACTCTGAAGAAAACTCCGTCCTCCGGGAAGTCTCTTATTAGAATTTATTCACTCAATTGGGTGGGGTGGGGGTGAGCGCTTATTTGAGTTTGATTGGGAGGAGGAGGGGGTGGGCCCTTATTCGAGGCTGGGCGCTTATTAACTTTTTCTGCCTTTAAGATGGGCGCTTATTCGAGGTGGGCGCTAATTCGAGGTTGGGCGCTTATTCGAATAAATACGGTAAATGACTTTTTTGATATCTGGCAATGATGTAATTTCTCTAGAATCGAGGCCCTTAAATGTTCGTGTATTTATACACGCGTATAGCCTGCTACTGGAGAGGTATTTCTGGTCGTCGCTAACACGCGTTCTAAATCAATTCAGAAACAAATAAAAAGTATCGACCTAGATAAAGGAGGAAGTAAAAAAACCAAACCTTTAGCGAGTAAATCATGTTTCTTGTAGAATTAATCGTCTCCTCATTTCTCGATCTCAGTAATCTCCAAGCGGGCGAGACGGAATGCTGCTGTAACCGTGTTCTTGTTGTACGTAATCTGTTTCTCGGTGTCAGCGACATCAAGGGTCGCTTGCGGTATCCGTACAGCTTTGACAGGGAAAATACTTGAATAGTAGAAGTTGAAATGTGACATTTTACCGGACGTTGTTAAATCCGCTTCGATATCCAGCAATTTAGTCAATAATTCTGCGTTATTGACATCCAGACTGACAGGGTATGTTTCGGGGCGGTATAGTTACTAATAGTTTAGTTTAGTTAAGTCAGTAAATTAAAAGCTCGCCGGTAAAAGTTACCTAGTACCTACAAAATTATTTTAAACATGACTTGTTGTTAAGTTAAAAACATTGCGATCTAAATCTCTAAAACCTTAGCGGCAAGTCGATCAAGAGGGTTACAGAAACTGAAAGCTGCCACTTTCAAACAAAAGGTAAGTTTTAGGTCAGTCCCTCTGTCGTTGTCAAGTAGGACCTCGCTGAGATCTGTATTGGCTAAAACATGTTGATCGAATTGTAGAAATATCATCAGGGAGCAGAATACTGCTGTTTATTATTTAACTGTATCGGTTATTATAGAGGAAACGTAGAAAATGATTTTCAATATCCCACGAAACTGTTAAGTTGGTTATTTTTACGGTTGGGATTTGTACAGTACAAAACCTGTTTGACAGGTCTTCGCGCAGGAGATAAAATCTCCGGTCCAAACAAAAATCCTAAATGGATATTTTGTCAACATTTGAAGGTGCATATGACGTGTTTTAATAGCACGATAAGAATTTCCGGTAGCAGTTTTCATCGAAGCATAGATTACTTTTGTACTTGTAATTTTGTATATCCGAAATTTCGAGAACTACGCAAAACAACAGTCTCAATTGTCTCAAAATAATGACAGTTGTTTCACAAACTGGTTTGACCGGTTGGTGTTTTCTTAGCCAATCATAATCTTGCCACGCGCGTCACATGCGTCACTTGTTTCAAAGCCATTTATTTCATGTCAAATTACAGCTGAAATTAAATATTTTTTTGCCTTAAATCTCTTTTAAAAGCTTATGATATTCCTACTCAACTGGTCTGGCCTGCAGAATAACACTGCTTACAGGCATCCGGCTGATAAAGGGACTCGCACATTGAACATAGGACAGGAGTTCCCCTACCCCCTTTGGAAGTAAAATGAATTTCCCATATGAGCGAACACCTCCCCGTGCAGACCCTGGACGTGGGGGTGGGTAAACAATGATAATAATAATAATAATAATAAAGTTTATTTAAAGAGGGTGGCACTCTATCTAAAATTATAATAAAAATAATATCCTGTTTATACAAAGTGTACATAGAAATGTAAGAGCTAAATGATAAAATGTATGTTAAATTCTAACATGTCTATCTATAGAACTATAAAATATCTATCTGATAAGAATTATAACAAAAATAAGATGTATCTTAAGAGCAAAGGATAAATCAAAAAATTAAACTATAACATGATGTAGTTTCTGCTGTATAATAAAAAGATTGTTTCTATAATTATTCGTAAAAGATTCTGTTGATGCACAATTCCTGAGTTCCCGACTTAAGCTGTTCCAGAGTTGACAAGTAGTAACTGCGAATGATCTACCGCCCTCGATCATTCGATGAAATCTCGGGCAAATAAAATTTGTGTTAATATATCATGTAGCACGACTATGTTGCTGACTGTAACACTGGAAAGGAGGGGAGGAGAGTCCCAGGAATGCAGCCGCTACGTTCGCCTTCGCGAGAAATCGCATTGGCCGGCTTTAGTATCTTTTATTGAAATCTTTGGTGTTGGACATTGGGCTTAAAAACCAAGGTATCCGGTGACCTGTGTCACTTACTCATACCACCATGCATTGTTTTCGTAGGTTAAACATATCATCACTTCGTTTCCATGGCCTCTATTACAACTACAACGCCGTCTACAAAACAAACAACTAATTATGCCAGGTTATGCCGTGTTCTTGTTGATGTGGGCACTTGTGCCCTCAGAGATTGCTTTGATGCCATCTGTGCACCACCAACCCTACACACGTTCTTAGCAGCTAGTCAACCCACATTGAAGTCTCTAAGATCACGTAGGATTATCACTGCGACTCAATGGGGAAAGCTTTTTCCCGCAATCCCTGCTTCAGTGTCTTCAAAACATTTTGACATCACTCTACTGATGGCTATGTTGCGCAACATCTGCGGTCTCACTCCTCCGGTAACAGGATGGGACGTGCTCCCAGCTGCCACAGACCTGAGCCGTGAGGCGGACATTGCGCACGTAAAGTACTTTAGGAATACAGTGTACGCTCACGCTGAGCACGCTTCCATTGATGATGCAACATTTGACACAAACTGGAAGGAGATCCGAGACACTCTAGTACGGCTAGGAGGGGCTACATACAAGTTAAGCTAGACTCGAAATGTTCAATATGATATCCTCTTATCCTTACCTCAGTAACAACCATGACCACTGAGGACTCGTCCTCTCTCATTTAATGGCTAATACTTTGACTTACCAATGCAACGATTTATATGTTACATGTTCTATTTCAAGGTCGCTATTGACAACTTGGAATTTTGCTGCATGGATCCCGATATGGAGCACCATTACAAAGAACTCCTTCATCAGTGGAAAAATGATGAAGATAACATAAAAGATGAATTGAAAAAACTTTGCACTGATGTAAAAGAAATTGGTACTAATATTAAAGAATTTGGCAGAGGCATTAAGGAATTTGGCACCGACATAGAAGAAATTGGTAATAACATTAAAGAATGTGACACAGGTATCAGAGAAGTTGGCACGGAGGTAAAAGAAATTGGTACCGAAGTTAAAAGACTTTCAAAGAAACTTGATGACTTGATGGCGTCAAATGTGACACCTGCCAATGGTGCAGGTAAGTGAGTAGGGAATTGAGCAGCTACAATCGAACTTTAACCAACGGCCACCTCTCTTCAGTCAGGCTACTTAGTCCCAGCTGATATCTGTGACTCTTGGTTTAAGCTGTTTACAACGACCACCTCCCTTCCACAGCTATTAGCGACCTTAAGATCCGAGGACGGCGATGGCAGTGAAAATGTCGCTGAAAAAGTGAATTCGCGCTTTCAATCTTTACTTCAAGTCCCTAACTTTGTCAAATGTAGGCGAAGCCTCTAAACGTTAAATTCCCAAGAACCATATCCAAGTTCAGAAAGAGAGAGAAAATCTCGTCGTCGCTTGAGTACTTTCTCTGTACATCGTGAAATTAGGCATTTTCACGTCGTAGTCGTGCAGTGACGGCAAAGAAATGTACAAAGAAGCGTGATGCACGTGTAAAATTGTTGTTTTGCTTATTAAACCTATTGATTTTGTGGAGTTCCCGTTGCCGTTGCCGTCTTCGGATCTTAAGGTCCCTATTTCCCAGCCTTGTCTGTTAGGTGGCCAGAGTGGTCAAGGGCTACTGCACTATACAAACACCAAGAAAGCGTGACAAATAACTCTCACGTTAAAAAATTAGTTCGAAATTTAGTAACAAAGTGGCTTTTTCTTTCATCAAAATTATCAGGGCTTGTGCTATAAATAACTTTAATGGGAACGTAAATATGTCAAGGCGCTTACAGACAACGGCTGAAAACTTTGAAAACTCCCCAAATAGTCGGAGGTTAACTGTCTCATGTCACGTGGTCCTATTAGTCACTTGACTACCATCTTGCAAAATACACGGCGAGGTTGTCGAAAGGCAGACTGAAGTTTCGATTTCTTTCCTTTTCTTTTAAAGTTATTTTCAATTCAATGAATCCAGAAACCAAAACCCTCAAGCACAAGAAAAGAGACGTTATCTGAGTGTCAATGTGTTTAGTACGGAAGTACTAATTTGGGACACTATTTTTAACGTCTCCCACTGGAGACGAGACCGCCATTTTACGTGTTCATCCGAGCCACCGGAAGGTCCAGCCGCCTGCAGGGCAAAGGAAGTACCTTCATTTCTCAGTCATTTTAAGACCGTGAGTGTTGGTCCGGTCCAGGGAATCGAACCCACTACCATCCGCTCTACTGACTGAACTAATCCTGCGCGGTTTTGATATGCATCAGAAATGTACGTACTGACTTGAGCACAACGGTTAAAATCACGTTCTAAGCTGCTTTGTCAAATTTGTTTACTCTGGATCTAAAGTGTTATTAACAGACAGGCAGGAAAATCATTTATGTAGTTAAAATACGCCTCACATTGTAAAACTGATTAGAATTCTTGGGGAAGGGGAGCACTGGTTTTGTGAAACCTCACTCTAATGCACGACAGTAGTTTACCTGACAATTGTGTTAGCTTTGTTTATATGTTAAGTACATTATAATCATAATTGTATTTTGTTTTGCCAAAGATAAAAGCCAAAAACTGAAAGGGATAGCAGACACCTCGTCGATGTGCACAGAGAAATTTCACGAGAATGAACTTCTGACGTTTTACTGTGAACAGTGCAAAGTGTGCATTTGTGAAAAATGTAGACAGACCCGTCACAATCACCACACCGCCGTGGATATCCACCAAGCCGCCGAAGAACACAAAGTTGATATCGAGGAGATTGTACAAGAAATGAAAATAGAAATCGCTGATCATGAAGAGCACGCGGAAAAAACAAAGAATTCCTTGAGAAAAAGCAGAGAAAGGATTTCTACCGCGCGCAATAAAGTAATGACATCTGTTGAAGAACTTAAACGACTTTTACATGAACATGAGAAAGCTATGATAACTAGTTTGGATGTTATCGACGGAAAAGAAGAACGACAGTACTCAGCGCAGCTGGAACATTTACAGGTTTCTAAGAATCAGTTACAAGAGCATGTCGAGTGCTGCGAGGACATCTTACTGAGGGAGAAAAGCGTTGAAATTTTGGAAGCACATCATGCACTTATCGGACGATGTAGAGGTCTTCTAAATGCAGGGAAACTAAACATTTATAAACCATCGCATGTCAAATACGAGATTAATAAAGAGTATGTCAAGAAAGTGAAAAGCGTAGTTCCGGCGGTGGGTCGAGTCGTCATCGTTACCACAGATCCTTTGCAGTCGGTGGCTGAAGGAACAGGTTTACAGGAAGTAAAATTAGGAAGCGAAGCAACGTTTAAAATAACAACCAAGGACTCTGATGGAAACAAGTTTTATGATGAAAACGATCAGATTCAAGTGAAAGTCCAGTCTCCCTCAGGAGAAGAACTGACCCACGTGATTTCAACTGACAAAGATGGTGAATATAGCGTCACTTACACACCAGATTGTTTCGGACAACATGACGTGATGGTGACGGTTAACGGTCAGCCGCTGTCAGGAAGTCCATGGAGCAGGTTCAATAACCTGGTGGTGTGTGATCGTGATAAAGCAAGACTTCAGTTGTTTACTCTTGACGGGAAATTTGTGAACTCAATAGAAGGGCAACATATTGGGCTTAGCGCACCATATTCTGTTGCTGTGTCAAGCAGTGGCCAGCTTTTTGTTACTAGTTCACTGGACAAATTCTATGTACATGTTTTCCAGTGAGAAACAGATTTTCTTGTACCGGTTAAATAACTGATCATCATTGACATTTACAGGAGGGGAACTAAATACCTTCATTCCTTCTTTCTTGTATTATTTTGATAACATTAAAATTGGTCTTACCTTAGCGAGCCAGTGGGACAACCATTTTCATTGTCATAACCTCTCAAATGAAACATCCCAAACTGTACTCGTACGAAGTACTATACTTATTTCAGCACACCTATTTATAAACTTTTCACTGCCATTCAACAAAATTTCCTAATTCTATTTTGTATCTGAATGCCGAGAAACAAATAGTACTCTGTGAAAGTACGGCTAGAGAGGTTCATTTGAATGGTTACACCATAGCACGATATTTTCGTTCGCAGACTCAAAAGTTAGATCCATCTTACCAGAGTTCATCATGTACTCTGACAGTAAAAAGGTTAACAGAAAGGATTTTTAGAACTGGTCATCTTTTACCAAAGCCTCCTACACCACAGGCGGCAAAAACTACCCCAACGACGTAGATTGTTGTTCAAAAACTGAGGATACATTGACACAATTACCTCTAAAGAGGGGTATTTTCACCTACCAGTTCCCCTGAGGGTAGGGTGGCTTTATATCGTAGAGGGTACTGTCAAAGAGAGAGTCTCCAGATCTTAGATCTCCAATGGTTGGCATCTCTGACTTACCTGTAGCATGAACTTAAAAACCATTCGCAGTAATGAGCTTAAAAACAGCCAAAAGCTATACGCAAGTTCGTATTCCAGGAACTAGTCCTTCTATGTCATAGCTTATCAGGCGGGAAAGTTAAGGTGACTCATTCCACTGTTAAAAGCAATGTAAGTATAATCATTTTAGGTCAGCAACAGGCATGATTTCTCTGAGAGTTATTGCCGTAACCAAGAATTTTTTACCTTTCTAATATAACAAAATACCATCACAGCGGTTACCATGGCAATAATGTATTCATTGTTTTGTCTTCGGTCAAGTGCCCTCTATCACTCATCTATGCAAAAGTAGAAGGAGAAATGGGCCTGAGATCATAGCCTCTAAGCAAATAGCGGTACCACCTTTCAATTTCTTAAACTCTACAAACAACAGGCTACCTATAATACACAGAGGACTGGATAAGAACAAATTCTTCACATAGCTTATTGATTCAATTTTAGTGAACATGGCAACCAATTGGGACCCCTAGCTAGATCCTCCCTGACGTAAACTTATACGTACCAAAAACGTTTTAAAGTATTGCTCTTGTTCAACTTTCAATTTGTATTGCCTTTAATGTGTATAGTCCATGGTGCAAAGCAACAAACAGGAAATGTTGAAAATTGTAATATAAAGTGGATATATGTTTGAGACCTCACGACTCGTAATTGAATACCATTGCCCAGTTTTTTATTTACACCTTCAGGAATTCTCAGTGTAATGCATGAATAGTTAAGAGACAAAATTTGAGAAAAAATCTATGTTAACTTCTGTTTCAGGGAACTGAATGATTAACAAAATCTTTCGTCCGCCCTCATACTTAACCTATCTTTAAGGACCTCGGTATACTAAAATTTAATGATATCCATTTGCTTTAACTGGCCCAATTTATGTATTCTTGCAAAAATTCATTCTTACCTCCAAAGTTTAATAACAATTTCTCTCAAAGCAATCAATTCCACTCTTACAATACAAGAAATTCCCAGGCCTACCGTCTACCGTATTGTCGTACAAACACGAAGTTCTCGCCCTTTTTTCAAGGGCCTAAGTTTTTTAATTCACTTGACAACAAGGTCATCAACTCTCAATCCCTCTCCTCTTTTAAGAAAAAAACCGAAGATTAAATTATTGAGTAAGTATGAAAACAGTTCATAAGTCTTTCCATCTTCGAATTTTCGCCTTCTTTTCTTCAATTGATGTCAAACAGCTCTAGCTCATAGTTCGAGGAGGCCTAACCTCTCATAAGCTCCTATAGTTTCTGTTAGGTCTCCCCGCCACTTTTTTTTCTTCTTTTCCTATATTTTTTGTAATTATTGTGTGGCAAATAAAATAAATAAAAATAAATATGTCTACAGAGTGTTTTTACTCACGTGACCAGCATCTGTGCAAATTCATTGGAACAAAAGAAAGTGTTTACATAAGAAAAGAGTTTAATCCCAAAGGATTTGTTTGGAACAACAACATGGTCCCCAGGTTTCATTGTTTTGGAACAGCGATATGGCTGCCGTGACGTCATGCGAAATATTTTGTACGGGTATATTACGAACTCGCGGAGGCGTGGTGGCCGAGTGGTTAACACCTGGAACTCCAGATCTGGAGGTCCGGGGTTCAAGCCTCGCCCGTCGCGTTGTTTCCTTCAACAAGGAACTTTACTGCACTTTGTCTCTCTTCACCCAGGTGTATAAATGAGTACCGGCGATATACTGCTGGGGGGTAACTATGCGATGGACTAGCATCCCGTCCAGGGGGGACTAGCAATGCTCCTAGGTGCTTCATGCTAATGAACCCGGGGTAAGCTCCGGCCGTTTGGGCCTTTGGCTGCTGTGCGCCTTTACCTTTTACCTTATATTACGAACTCACGGAGCAATCAGTTGTCTTGGATTAACTAGCTCAGTTGGTTAGAACACGGTATCGATGTTGTAGGGTCATGGGCTCACAACCCATTCAAGCCTAACTTTTTTCAGGCTTTCTTTTTGCAACTGTTTGAAATGCGTACTTAACTGAATGTTAAATCTTACTCTCACAGTTGAAATGGTTCTCATACATAAGCGTTTATGCCCTACACCATTTTTCTTCCATTTCAAATAAAAAAGTAACTCCATTTTTAGCTCAGTGATTACAGATTTTGGCAGTTTGATTGACCAATGCACAACAAAGGATACCATCATGCACGTCACATATGTTGCCAAGCGTTTGTGTGTTTGGAGTTCATGGTTCGATTGCTTTCTACAGAATGAGATCCCGTGACTTAAGCTCTTGGCTCAAAGAAACAAGTTGACATTCGCTGTCACCGCAATTAAATGTGTAGGTTTCAAAGGTTTGTTTAATTTTGTCGGAGATAATCTGTTGAGTGTGTTCTTCAGTTACCTACCAGGTTCAGGCCCGCGAAATAGTTTCAAACATCTGATTGGTGAAGCTTCAACAGAGCAAAGTTTGTCTCGAATGATCGTACTGCTTGGAAGCCATTAATGGCTTTAATTTAGACCCAAATTAAATCAGGTAAGTTTCTAATCGATCCAGGTTTAAGTCTTGTGCGTCCTTAACGAATGGTTTTCTAAATTGCATGATTTACAGAAACTCGTGTGTTATAGTTTGGCATGTAGTGTACTTTTGTTGGTTTCTGAAACTCAGAGTCTGTGTTCGTTTGAGAACATATTTTTGCAAAATAAAGCACCAACTCAGGAAGCAAAACGGAAACATTCTCTCCGCCTGTAAAACTACTAAAAGCTGTATAACTAGGAAACCTTTACTTTGATAACAAAGTGTCAAACAATAGCTTTATATATTATATATTCTTTATCTAGACCAAGGACGCTTTCAGTTTGTATTCTAAGCTTGATCGACTTAAGAGAGGTTTTCACGACCAAATTTTGGTGTCGAAGGCAAAATTTCAGCCAGTTTGCTTTTGCCTTTATAACGCACATATTTGCTTATATTGCCGACATGTCAGTTGTTGACGAAAAAATCATCACACTAACTATTCAGATTCTTATGGCTAGGAATAATAAGAGTTTTTAGGCTGATGAACGCGAGAAATTCTTGCATATTAAGTTCATCTAAGTTGTCTGATCGCAAAGAATCTGTTTAGCGTCTATCTTCAGTCAAGTTTGATTGCTTTAATTCAATGTTAAGGTGAGTATTCACTACACTAACAGTGGAGTACAAGTGAGACCATTTTTGCGGCAACAATATCCTTGATTTTACCGTCGGGGCAGCTTACTACTTCTTTAATGTAAATGCTTTGAGAAGGAAGTGAAGTCAAGTGAGGAAGAAAGTGACTCCAACTTATTTTTGGAATTCTTCTTGAAATATTTATTCAATTTTTGCCTCAGAGACAGTTTAAACAAAACAATCCCTCGGTGAACCCACTATTTAGCTAAGTAAATGGCCTAGGAGCGTCGTTTAACTTCGCTCCTTTTATACAGGTTTGTTATGAATGATTTTTAAGATATCACTGTTATTGTTTATAAAGTGCGTTTAATTAAACTATCAATATGCAATTGACTTTTCATTACTTTGTATTTAAGACTTGCTGCTGCATATTTGAGCTGCGACCGTTTTTATAGTTTTGTTATAGTAATTTTAAGATATAATTTTGTGTTATCAGCTTTATTACTTTCATTGGCTGTTTATATTAGAAATGATTGGCTATTCATAACTTTGTATTGTAAGGACTTAAGCAGTTTCATGGATATTTAAAGGAGCTGTGCATTTCCTCTCTTATCTATGACAAGTGTACTTCAATAACGAATTAATACTCAATATGATTAGCTTTTCATGTAAGACAAAACCGTTGAAGAATTTTTGCCTTAAAACTATTGTTATTTTTTTTTTATAGCATATTATTTCTGCTTGGCACCTTTAATTCTTTTTTTCTCAGTGAACAACCCTATCCCTTATTTTCTCGACTCTCTGTTAAGGTGTTTCTATACAGTTTTTTACCCTGCGTGCAAAGGCTTCTCTCTCGCAGCGCTTTTAACGTTTACAAAGTCGTTCGCATAGTTGGTTTGTTCTCTCCTCGGGGAGTAAACAAACCAACTATTTAGGAAACATATGACTTCCTTCAGAAGCTTAAGAATACTGAATACAATACAGTAAAATTCTGCATCCAAATATCATTCCCCCAGGTTGAATATGAATTAAGCGTTTTGCGTCCATGGCCACTGCTACACCTGCAACTCCATCAACAAAAGAAACAACTAATTATGCCAGGTTATGCCGTGTTCTTGTCGATGTGGGTACTTGTGCCCTCAGGGATTTCTTTGATGCCACCTGCACACCAAAACCTCTTTACACCGTCTTGGCAGCCAATCGACCCAAATTGAAGTCTTTAAGGTCACGAAAAATCATCAATGCAACTCAATGGGGAAAACTTTTTCCAGCCATTTCTTCTTCAGTCTCATCAAACCATTTTGACATCACTCTACTGGTGACTCTGCTACGCAACATCTGTGGTCTCAGTCCCCCCGGGGGAGCGATAACAGGATGGGACGTGCTCCCTGCTGCCACTGACCTGAGCTGTGAGGCGGACATTGTTCGAGTTAAGTTTTTCAGAAATACAGTGTACGCTCACGCCAAACGCGCTTCTGTTGATGACGTAACATTCAAAAAATACTGGAAAGACATCCGGGACACACTGGTGCGACTAGGAGGAGCTACCTACAAGGTAAAAAACTTAATACGCCACTTCCACGTTTCCCATAATGCACCTTAATTTGCCCCAAATTTTGCACAACCTTTGTTTTTCATTTCTCCTTCCCAAGAGAAATTGAAAACAATGCTTATGCAACATTGTTGGGGGGCAAATAAGGTACATTAAGGGAAAAGTGGAAGTGGCGTATGCTTTTGTTGTTGTTGTTGTTGTTGTTTTTTTTTTCATCATCAATTACATCAAGGGGTAGGAACTGCACTGGCGCATCAAAGATTTGATTTCAATGTTCCCCTTTCCATTTTAAGGTCGCTATTGACGACCTGGCATCATGCTGCATGGATCCCGATATGGAGCTTTATTATAAAGAACTACTCCATCAGTGGAAAATTGATGAAGATAATATAAAAGATGAATTGAAAGAAATTGGCGTCGGCGTAAAAGAAATTAGCAGCGACGTAAAAGAAATTGGCGCAAGCGTAAAGGAGCTTACAAAGAAGCTTGATAACTTAGCGGCATCAACTGCGAATCCTGTCAGGGAAACAAGTGAGGGAGGTGAGAGACCTTTTAACGACTACTAGCTCACCACCTTGCCTTGTTAAATAAAATAAGTGAAAGATTAAGTCAGTTAACTAAGCAAAGAAAAGCACAGTGACACTTTCACAATAAGACAATTATAGACCGCCGCATGTCATTCTTCACCAAAATTACTCTATTCCCGCCATAATGGTGAACCAGGATTAGTAGCGCCAAAATTTGATACTTCTGTGTATGCGTATGCATCTTATCCAGTTTCACGTGTTAACTGATTCTTCGCCTTCTTCTTCTGCTTATGCTTGTTCCAGGCGTGAACCATAAAGGCTTCAGTTTTACATGGGATAATCTGCAAGGACGGTTTTCAACGAGGTGCAGCATTGTTCTGACATTGTTTCGAATTACAACAATCGTTCCAGCATTGCTGCCCTAAGATCGTCGTTGCAAGTTGTCCCGTGTTAGTTGTGTAACATTGCCTTTCAGCTTTGTTCCAAGCGAGCGCTTAGCTCGTTCTGTTGAATTTCGTCTCTAAGGGATGCACCATTAGAAATGTGAAGGGGGGGGGAGTCCAAAAACAAAAAAAAAAATCCTGCAAAACAAAATTTTAAGAAAAAAAAATCCTGCATTGCAACGAAACCAGAAAAAAATATCCTGCTTGGATAACCAATGTGACTGCGACAATATATTACACAGTCTGAAAAATAAATCTGTGATCTGTAACAGGAAATCCCCTTCCCCCAACTTCCTAAATTCATGTCAAACTACATTTCAGGCAGAAAAAACAATTTCTACTGGCTAAATAGAGATTTCAATTTGAACCAACTCTGATGCCCTTGATCTCTATAGCTGCCATAGTATTAAATTAAGAGACTGTGGTGATAATTGTTTAACTTTATAAATTAAATAAACTTTTTTATTGAAATACTTTTGTTTTAATGGGATTAAAGTGAGATTGTGTTAACAACGTCAATAGTTCCACTTGCACGCAAGTTTATGGAGTTGGTGTTGTACAATATGCGTTGCTACTTGAATCCATAAAGTTTACAGCTATAAACAAAAGTAGATGTCCCAAAAACACCAATCACACTGCAGATCCCGCTGCATTTAAAAGTATTAAGAATATTATTTACCCAAACTAACACAAAATATTTTGAATGCTTTGCAAAACCATAAATAGAAATGGTGCATTCTAATAAAAACTTGAACCTAAACATATGGGCCACAGACATATGGTAGGATTTAGAGGAAATGTTCTTCAAGTTCTTCCTCTGTATCCCAGTCCTCGCCTGATGAAGACTGACATGCTGGCTGCAGTTTTACTTCTTCTTTTTCTTCTTCTTCTTCTTCTTCTTCTTCTTCTTCTTCTTCTTCTTCCTTTTCTTTCTGTTTTTCTGTCTCTTGTCTTCCCTCAGGTTCTTTCTCTGTGTTCCAGTCCTTGCATGATAAGGACTGAGATGCTTGCTTTCCTTCTTTCTGTTTCTCTGTTTCTTGTCTTCCCTCAGGTTCTTTCTCTGTGTTCCAGTCCTCGCCTGCTTGAAATTTCTTCTTTTGTTTTTCTTTATTTTCCTTTAGAGCATTCTTCTTCCTCTTTCTTCGCAATACTTGCTGGCCCACACTACTCCCAAAGCTTGAGCGATACTTCTCTACAATATCTTGGTATTCTGTGCAAATCTTGGTAACTTCTTCAACCACTTTCTCTGCCCGTGGTATCAGTTCTTGGTAGAACTGATTTGTCTCTTTCAAGCCTGTAATAAAATTTAAAATATAGGGACTAATATTTTTTCTTTATTATGACTATTGTGCTCTAGTCCTGGGGTACCCCTCAGAACATTCTCAAAGCTGACCCTATCTCATGGACCAAAATATTTGATATCCCAAAATCATATTCAAACTTGACCTCCATTAAAAAATCTGTACCCTATTTGAGACTTGGGCACTTTGTTGGCGTTATACATACGAAAGGCTTCATGGTCACATGCAATGACTTTTGAATGGGGATGGGGGAGCTACTTCTGTTTCCCCTTTTCCAGCTTTCATACAAAAGCAAACAGTCTAGTAAAACAAGACCAAAAGAGGGCATAGTCATTTTGGAAAAAAAAAATCGTGCAAGGGTTTGAAGGTTGAAAAAAAAATCCTGCACTCCTGCTGGTTGTGAAAAAAATAACATGCCTTTCCAGAAAGTCCTACCCCCCCCCTTCACATTTCTAATGGTGCATCCCTAAGAAAACATTGTCTTTGTTTTAAAACTGTAACATTACCCAGAGCAATGAAAGGCATCTTTCAGTAGAAACCCAAATATTTGTCTGGGTCTGCTACATACACTTGGCTTTCAACGTCCTTAGTTCTCAAAATCAAGGAAGAATGATCTTCGCAGTTGTGAGTGCAATAAATTTCAGCAATTGCGTAAGAAGCTTGAAAAAATCCATGACTTCAACGCGATTTGAACCTGTGACCTCGCGATACCGATGCGATCTTCTAACTAACTGAGCTATGAAGCCACTGATGTTGGGAGCTGTCTGTGTTCATATGTTCCCTTGATTATATGTTTTATTTCATATACATCTATCACGTCCTTAGTTCTGTCGACTCTATGCCATGTGACACAATAGCTAACATTTCTATACATTTCAAATGCATTTTTGGTAACTGCGGTTCACGTGAAAATGAAACTGAATAACGCGAGACTCTCACTTGAGAAAAAAATAAATTTCCGACAAAGTTCTGAATGATCTTGAAGCCTAAAGATCATAGAAAACGGCGAGAAAATTTCCAAAAAACCAACAAGAGCATCTCCATGTATGCTAATCGATACTATCTAGCAATCGATTAAGAACATCCCTATGACTTTTTCACGCGCTTGTTTTATAAACATTAACACTCCCTAAGGAGCGAAATAGCTTTTGTAACATCGAAGACTTCATCCCATAACGTTCTAATAGATTTTATTTTAACTGGCAGCTATTTTTTATGTTCATGTTCCCCATAATGTAATTTGTTTTCCCCACAAACTTTTGCATAAGTTTTGTTTTCAGTTACTCAAGGGACGTTTCTTTGTCCCAGGCAAAATGGCAAGTGAAGCAAAACTTATATATAATTTTGTAAGGAACAAATTGCATTATGGGGAACTTGAGGGTCTCCAATCGACTTTATACAAAATACCACCGTCTTTGCGCGAGTTTCAAGATTGTGGAATAAAAACAAGGTATTTCAAGGGGCAAACAAGTGATAAAATTTGCAAATACGAGTAATCGCGGTCAAGCAATAGCAATGCCTCCACCTTAGATATGACGTTTATTTTCAAATAAGTCCTCTAACGTACGTAATCTCCATCTCGATTGTCCCCAAAAAAGAAAATCCCGTCGAGAAACCTTACGTAACATTATCTTATTTCGCCTGTTCATATTAAAGGTAATGGGATAAAACCCACTGAGATACTGGAAACCCCGTCTGTGTGCACAAAGAAATCTCACGAGAATGAACTTCTGGCGTTTTACTGTAAGAAGTGCAAAGCGTGCGTTTGCGACAAATGTAGACGGAGCCGTCACAATCATCACCCTACCGTGGATATCCATCAAGCCGCAGAACAACGCAGAGCAGATATTGAAGAGATTGTAGAGGAAATGAAGAAAGAAATTGCTCGTTATGAAGAGTTCGCAAAAAGTACGAGAGAATCTTTAAAAAAAAGCAGAGAAAAGATTACTTCAGTACGCAATGAAGTAATGACATCCGTTGAAGAGCTCATACGACTTTTACATGATCACGAGGAAGCTATGATAACCAGTTTGGACAAAATTGAGAGGAAAGAACAGAGAGAGCACGAAGCGAAACTACAACAATTTCAAGGTCCTATCAATCAGATACAGAATCATATCGAGAGGTTTAACGGCATCTTACAGAGGAAGAAAAGCCTTGAAATTTTGCAAGCCCATCATGATCTTATTGAAAGGTGTAGAGGTCTTATAAATGCAGGGAAACCGAACATTAGAAAACCATCGCATGCAAGATACAAGGCCAATAAAGAGAATATGGAGAAAGCGAGAAGTGCACTTCTGGCCCTGGGTAAAGTTACTGTCATTACCACAGATCCTCTGACGTCGAATGGCATACATCAATTTGAATTAGGAAGCGAAGTGACATTTAAAACAATGATCAATGATGCTGATGGAAACCGATGCTACAATGAACAAGATCTGCTTGATGTGGAATTTCAGTCGCCCTCAGGAAAAGTAGCGAGACACAAGATTGCACCCAGAAAAGATGGTGAATATAGTGTCACTTACAAACCCGATTATGTTGGAAAACATGAGGTACTAATTGCGGTTAACGGTGAGCCACTGACTGGTAGTCCATGGAGTGTTCATGTCATGCCACATCCTTACAAATTTGTAACTTCCCTATTTACCAAGGAAGGACAAAGACGGTGTGATTTTCCCTCTTCTATTGCAATAGACGACAAGTCTGAAAAGGTTGCAGTGACCTACTATGAAAACAGGGTTCAGCTATTTCATTTACAAGGAACGTATCTAACAGCAGAAGCACAGATTAGTACTAAACATCAAACTAGACCAACATCAGTGGCATACACCAAGTCGGGTGAACTCATAGTTGTTGCTTCTAATAAGATTGCATGTTTCGATGAAAGTTATAAATTTAGAAAACACGTCAACAACAGACACCTAAAGAAGCCCGACCGTCTGTCTATTGCACCTGATGGACGCATGGTTGTGTGTGACTCGGGTTACTCTGCAGTTAAGGTTCTGTCCTCAGATGGTTTACGGCTGTTACTCACCATTAGTGATCCTGATCGTGTAACTCCATGGTACGCTGTGTGTCATCAAAATATGTTTTTTGTTTCCTATCCTGAATCAAGTATTGTTAAGGTTTTCAGCGAGAATGGAGTGTTTCTGTACAATATCGGCCCCTCAGAGTCTGGTGATGGACACCTGAGCTGTCCTGTTGGCTTTGCGATTGACAGGTTTAACAACCTGGTGGTATGTGATCAGCATAAGGCAAGACTTCAAATATTTACTCTCGACGGAAACCTTTCAAATACAATAGAAGGACAACACACTGGGCTTACTGGTCCTTGCTCTGTTGCTGTGTCAAGCACTGGCCAGCTCTTTGTTACCGATTTAGACAAAAGCTGTGTGTATGTTTTCCAGTGACTGGGAAAGAGTTTAAATTATCATTGCACTAAAGTTAGTAACAGTATAATTCAACTGAACTGTAAGTCAATTTATTTACCAAATCGTCCAGGCAAGTATTTCTCTTACCTACAGGCCCCATGGAGTATCTTTGGTTTTTTAGTTCTTTGGAGGTAGACCGTGTCTGCCTGCAAATACATTCCACTTCTGAAAAAGGCATCAAACGTTCCTTTCCTATCCCAGATTAACTGTAGATAAGAAACTAATTTCTTAATCCACTGGTCAAATCATCATACCTAATACCTTTTTCTAGGCTAAAAACCTCTCTTCAAACTATCTAAATTATATAAAGCTACGCAGCTTAAAAACTGCGGAAAGTTGACGCGGGTAGGCGAGTTATCCCTAGCTGAGCGTTTACAAGGCAGGTTGGGTAACCCTCTTGGTAGGTTAACCCTAGCACTCAGGTAGGGTTACCCTGGCGCTAGGGTAACCCTACCTGCCTTGTAAACACGTCGTGTGAAAAAGGAAGAAATCTGCGAGTGCTAGGGTAACCCTCTAGAGGGTAACCCTAGCACTAGGGTTACCCTCCCTTCTTGTAAATAGGACCTGTGTAGGTGAGTGGAGCGGCGTCTGAACCGTGTCTAAGTTCCCCTACCATTTTCAAAGAAACATTAAATAGTTATTTCGAGCTTACTTCACATTTATGGCAATCTGATTCAGCAGTACTATACACGGGCTAAGGATATCACTACGTTACCATGAAAGCCACATGCGCATATTTAGAGTTCATGGTTCGTTGAATTTCCCCGTGAAATAAGTTAAACCCACACAAATTAGTTAGAAATCAATGGCTCTGCCTTAGAACAGTCAATGAGAATAGGAAAATTACGACGACAATGACGTCATTTTACCACAACTACCAGAATCCTTCAGTTGTTTCTTTCTTGTGCAAATTAGAGCTATATTGTTGTTAAAACCTCAGCAGGATTGACAAATTTCAGTAAGAAAGCAAAAACGAAATGAATTCTGGTAGTTGTAGTCAAATGTACGTTGTCATCGTGAAAACGGCCCGTTGCAGTTTTCACTATATTCCAAAGGTAACCTCGCCCCATGTAAGGGAATCCGGATTCCGGAATCCACGAATTTTTTGCTTGTGGAATCCGGAATCCTTGGCTTTGGAATCCGGAATCCAGCACTAAGAATCCGGAATCCAACCAAAGATCCACTCCACATTAAATTGAGCTACTTGCTCGAAAGAAAAACTATCAGTCTATGGAAAGCCTCCTGAGGGTATAGACCTGAACGTGACGACATAATATCGGCATATCTGGAGTCAAAACAATAGTTCACGAGCTCCATATGAAAGGTCGAGGTCACGGTCACATGATTAAAATTCTATAATAGCGAGGGAACCCTTGCTTATGAGCGGCTGGGAGGATCACAAAATTTGGGGTTTTCAAGGGAACACAGCGCAGCGTTTTTAAGGTATAAATTGAATTGTTATGAATAACTTCGACCTCTGGCTATGTTTGATTCTCTGTTGTTCACTCGCTCCGCTGAACTTTAAAAAATCAAAAGCGATTTTATGCGAGCTTTTTGACCTGGCATAGGACTGGAAAAGGTGCACCTGGGGTGAAACTTTCCTTGAACCTTCCCGGTCCTCCTGGTTCACAAATGAAAATAAACGTCTACGTTCAACAGTTTACCTAAAAAGAAAAAAAAGAAATTCACAGTCTTCTAGTTCCTAATTTGGTCCTAGTAGTTTCGCTGAGAACAGCTTCATAGTTTCGATAATCTTTATTTGAGAAATAAGCCAGGAACTGTCAGAACCGTACCAACTTAGCTGTCACTAAAGTAATCACGTGCAAGGACGCGGTGGGTGCCTTTTTTATTCATCCCCCGGCATTCGAGTGAAATCTCGCCACCTTTTCGATCAGACCAGTTTGAAGTTTGTTGTTTGTTGGATTTTTCTTTCCTACTTTTTCTTTTTTAAAAAAGACGTTATTGGAAAGCACAAGCAAAAACGAAAGGCTGAGAGAGAAAGGTACCTGTAATACTGTGTTGTGAAATTTTACACCAATTTTTAGCTGACTGCGATAGATCTAAACGTGCCAAAGGCAAAGCTGCATGATTTTTCGTTCGTGTCGATCTGTGGACTGTGCTGAACGTGGCGGCAAGCAAGTCACAATCATGAACAAAAGAAACGTTAAGTGTATAGTTTTAAGCCCGCTGATTGATTTTTTTCTCAATCATAATTGAATGTAATATAAATTTTACGTCGTCCTTGGGGAAAATATCGTATACATGAGCGCTATATAGTTGTTAAACGCTCAAAACGAGCCAACGAGTCAGAAACGCGCAAGTCTCTCTCGATCGCTCAGTCATCTCAGACTCGATCAAGGATCAAACGGGCTTTTCACGTTTTCTGGTTCTACAGTTGTGATTAGGCCTCGTTCACATTGAGGTCGTTTTTGGAAATTAGACCGATCTGAGATCGGTTTAGCCCGTATTTTTTTTCTTTGAAATGGATCCTGGAGCCACCTAGAACGCGCTAATATGAAATAAAACTCGCGGGGGATTTCATAATCTCATACTCAGATCTCTTACTTATTGATGAAGCCAAAGGCGAGATCTGGTCAAATCCGATTTTGTACCCGTGATTGCCTGTCAGGAATTTGACGGATGTGACAGGCCATGAAAGAGCGCATGCTTGAAATTAATCCTCAATTTTTGACGTGTTAAACAACGAATTTGATAGAGCCGTGAAGTTTTTTCTATCAAAACGTTGTTATGCGCACATCTTAAGTATGAACCAACTAATTTTTGAGTTCTTTTTTATCTTTTTAACATCAAATTCAACGCGACAACTCGGGCCAGATCTCCCCTCAGTTTGGCTTCGTCGACAAGAGATCTGGGTAGGAGAGGGATTTCATTGACCTCTAGGGCGAGGGGGGAGGGGGTGGTTTGCTCTCGCATGCTGTCCAGCAAGGATGATTGCGTAGCGTAAGTCAATGAAGAACAAACAAGTTCAGCTGTACAGTTTTGACTGAACGCGGGCAAATCAGGCTATCTTTGACTACGTTTTGAGCCATTTTGTCTACTAAGCCACTTTTTGAACTCGATTTAAATGGTCCAGCAACGACTAGACCGAGTAACTGATAGTCTTGGGCTTGCAGACTGTCAAGAGTTAACTTTTTTTCTTTATTTTGACCAGTCAAAAACGTCGAGACGTGACAGCTTAAAAATTTATTTGGTGGATCAACGTGGTCCGGCCACTGTCTCAATTTTTTTTTTTTTTGAGCCATGTTATCATTCTTAGACAATTATGTGACACAGTCAACTTTAGTCACTTTAGGGCCGCGCTGACCAGGACACCACTTTTGTCAGCTTGAAGTCCAATTTAATCTTCTGTAGTGCTCTTTTTAATTGTCAATCTTTTACTGAGTATATATACCTATCCCGTCGCAGGAGAAGTGTATTTTATTGTATTTGGCTAAAATTCGTGACTTAAGAGAAAGTGTGTTCGGTTAAGAAGTGATATCTAATGCGCTTGTTCTACAGCTTACTGTGTCTCTATAAATGAAAGTTTTACAAAAGAGGCGGTAACCGAATTTAGTTTTTTGCGCTATGACAATGATTCCAATAAAAAGTAGAAAGAGAAGGAAAAACAATGTGCAAACCATGTTAAGAAAGCAAGCTTTTCTTCGTGATAGTTTAGAGATGATTAGCGATTGGCGGCTTTTAACGTTTTGTTCAGTTCTACATGTATTTCTTTGAAATACTGTTTTAATGTTTCAAAGAATTTGCCAACATGTTTCGACGTAGCCTGTTCCAGGCGTTCGGACAGGACAAGGAAAACTACGAATGTAACGACATACAAACAAAATGAACCTTCTATTATATTATTGGTGGATAGCAAAATACTTGATTAACCTTCGCTGGTTTATGATATGGCATGGATAGGAAAAATTGATTTGGAGTTACACACGAACTTCGTTAGGTCGTTTTCTTGCAAATTGCAGCTTGATTTTCCCTGGCAATGACTGTACCTTTCCCAATACTTTATTATGCAGCAATCAAATGAATAAACGTGAATATTTAGGAATGATTTGCAAGAGTTCTTTTGTCTCTACGAATTAGGCATTTTTCTATCTGCATGACTGAAAACAGAGTTCGCAGAAATAGAGTGAGTGAAAAATAGAATCTTGAGGTCAGTCTCACTCTCCACTAATCACTAAACCAGCTCCAAGGTCCTCAATCCCTAATCATATGGAGATTTGGACTAGATTAATCGAAGGACAAAATTTAAAATTTCGATGTCGGTGTTTCGCCGCGTTTTTTTGCGGTGATGCGATGTTTGTGGTTTTTTTCCGCGGTTTTGCGGTGTGGACAGTCCTCCAATGTCCCCCTCATTATCATACCTTAAACCCGTACGGAACAGTAAAACATTTCTTCACGTAATTTATAAATCGAAAAAGAAAACAAACTTGTTATGCATTCTAAACAACGTCTTTCAATATAGCAAGATTCGAACACGAAAACGAAATGCCAAGAAAAGCATTAAAACAGAAAAAAGATTGGAATCCAGTCCTTTTTGGAATCCGGAATCCACTGAGCTGGAATCCGGAATCCAGTACACGGAATCCGGAATCCACAGGGTGGAATCCAGAATCCAAGTCTGTCAGGGATTCCCCTACATGGGGCGAGACATGAGAAGGCTATCATAACCACTTTAGATGTCATTGATGGAAAAGAACAAAGAGAGCACGCAGCGCAACTAGAACACTTTCAGATTTCTATGAATCAGTTACAAGAGCATGTCGAGTGGTGCCAGCGCATCTTACAGAGGAAGAAAAGTGTTCAAATTTTGAAAGAGCATCATGCTCTTATTGAATGGTGCAGAGGTCTTTTAAGAGCAGAGAAACGGAACATTTATAAGCCATCGCATGTCAGATACCAGATAAATGAAGAACATGTGGGTATTGTGAGAAGCGCAGCTCCGGTGGTGGGTGGAATTGTTGTTAGTAGCACAGATCCTTTGCAGTCAGTAGCTGAAGGGACAGGGTTACGGGAAGGTGAGGTCGGAAGCGAGGCAACAATTACAATAAAAACAAAAGATTTTGATGAAAAACAATGCTACGATAAAAACGATCAAATTCAAGTAATAGTTCAGTCCCCGTCAAAAGAAGTAGTCAGGCACATGATTGCCCGCTAAGAAGATGGTGATTATAGTGTCACTTACACACCAGACTGTGTTGGACAACATGAAGTGCAGATTGCGGTCAACGGTCAATCATTGATTGGTAGTCCATGGCATGTTCATGTGACTCCGTATCATTATAAATATTCTTTTTCTTTTGGTTCGCTTGGGAAAGGACGAGGACAGCTTGATTAGCCAAATAGTATTGCAATAGATGACACGTCTGGGAATGTTGCAGTGGCAGATAGTAATGGGGTACACCTATTTAGTTCAGAAGGAACACATCTAAGAGATATTGGTACTAACAAATTAACAAGAGCCACGTCAGTAGCCTTCGCCAAGTCAAGTGACCTCTTAGTCATTGCTTCTGATAAGATTTTCTGCTTAAATGCCGAAAGTTATAAATTTGTAAAATATGTCACCAACAAACACCTGAAGACACCGCACTGCCTGACTATTGCACCTAACGGTTGCATGGTGGTGTGTGACGAGGGTGACCTGACAGTTAAGGTTCTGTCCTCTGATGGCTCGCGGCTGCTACACATTATCAATGATCCTGGCTGTGCCAACCCACGCTTCGCATTGTGTCATCAGAAGATGATTTTCGTTTCCTATTATCTAGAAAGTGATGTTAAGGTATTTAGCAAGAATGGAAAGTTTTTACACAGCATCTGCAATCCTGAGTCAGGTTGCCAACAAACGAGTGTTCCCGCTGGTTTTGCTATTGATAAATTCAGTAACTTGGTGGTATGTGATCGTTGGAAATCTGATGGGTTTCATATTTTTACCCTTAAAGGCGAATTTGTAAATACAATAGAAGGACAACACACTGAGCTTAGTGCACCTCGTTCAGTTGCTGTGTCAAGCACTGGTCAACTTTTTGTTACTGATGTGAGCAAAAATTGTGTTCATGTTTTCCAATGAGAATCAGATTTTTTAATTAACTGCTACTTGCAGCAATTTATAAAGTAAAGTGGAATCCCGCTAATACGACCCTTGGACCTTGTAATATTAGAAAATATTCGAATAAAAATAATTTAACGTTGACGATGGAATTGCCGCGTATCACTCATATCCCTTCAAAACGTTTGTCATCTTGGTTGCTTTTTTGTAAGCCTATCCCTCCAGACATTCGACTGATAGTGAAAAGTTGCGAAAAGTGAGACATTTGAAATATAAGGATTTGTATGAGGAAAAAACCTATTGTTTCTGTAACCTACGAAAATGAAAGGCTTTCGATAACAAAAAACAGCTTACCTTACATAAAATGTGTGTTACGTTTCTCCCATGTGGTCCATGGGCAGATTTTGGGCCGTTTTATGGGTTGTACTGTAAACGGTTTTCTCTCTCTTTCCAATAACACTCACTAAATAGCCATAAATCGGCTGGGAAACCACACAGGAAAGAAGAGACACACAACTTAAGCAAGGTTAGCCGATTTTTATTTAAATCCTTTTACGTTCGTAGGCTACAGAAACAATTGTTTTTCTCCCATACAAATCCTTATATTTTGAATGTTACGCAACAGTGCCGATGGTCATATCCGAGCTTGGGTTACCTATGGTAACAACGGGGCTAGGAATGGCTAGGTTCCCCACCTGACCGATGTTATTGTTCTTCAAAAGGTTTTTAAAAGTAGGTTTTTCATGGTTTGGATAATATTGTTACGGTTTGATTTCTTCGATATGGGTTCCTCTGATCATACTGAAGCAAATCATGGAGGTGTTCCATTTAACCTGCTGTGAAAACATAGTCTGCTATCCAATTGGCCCACCTACATCTCTGCTGTTTTTTTTTTTTCTAAAAAAAACGTCTGAACGAAGGTTAGTTAGAACAAAGCTTGTGGTGCTATGACAACCTTCAAAACTCCAGTGAACAGTGAAAACGTAAATTTGCTGTTTAATATTCTTTCAACCGCAGCAACCTCGTTCCCAGGCAACTCGTTTCTTTCTCGAGCGAGGAAGAAAGAGGAACCTGGAAACGAGTTAGAGTTGCATCGCCCAGC